GGGGGAAGAAGGTAAATTCCTGTGAGCTAATGGTATTAGAGGTGATAATTGGGGAAGCTATCTTTGTAATGGGTAAGATAATTAGATTCTTTATTCAGACTCAGGTGTAAAGTGTCGAATTTAAGCATGAATAACAGTTCAGAGGATTCTCTTTCAGTTATCCTGGGGCTGTATAAAAGGCTGGGAGAAAGGAAGCCAGATAGGAAAGGGGAGACAGAGTGATAGCACGTCCCTCCTGGGTGCTGACACTGACACTGGCACCCAAGCTGTGTCTGGTGAAAAGGTGACGGGAGCACGCTCTGTAAATAAACAGCACAAGTGGTTCCAGAACCCCAATGTCTGAGTGATTGTCAGTACCTCCCGGCAGGACTCAAGCAGGCCCTGCAGCACCCTGCTACACCAAGCCTAAATAGAAGGAGGTGTAAGCAAATGTGCCACAAACTGTTCTCTGAATGGTCTGAGATGATGCTCTATAAAGAAAGAGGTGTGTATGCACAATAGATAACTTGCAGCAGGATGTGCTGCTAAGCCAGGCATAAAGCAGTGGTTGGTTTTGTCCACCACATGAATCCACACTGGCAGCTGTTTTATGTCAAGAGGATGCGGTCCCTTTCGACAGCCCTCAGTCAGCCATAGAATGGGCCTGTAAAATGGTCCCCTCTATCCAGAGCACTCAACTCTGCACTACGATGTAATGTAGAAGACATAACTAACAATAGCGGAAGAGGAAACAAGGTAGAGGGGGAGTCAATTAAGATTCAGCCAGATGTCCAAGTGAAGCAATAAACAACATGAAAACTGCAAGTCAGTTTGGACCTGAAATTAGTAATGTGCATCACAGTCGGGGAGAGTGGAAAGGTCGCACTAAAGATACCCAACTATGGTGGCATTGATGGGTACCTGTTCACCAGGAACTACTGTAGCCTCAAACACATTAAGGATGGGTTAAGGGATGTAAATTAAACACTAGACAAAAAAACTTCAGGAAGTAGCTGAGTTTGTCTGTACTGGATAAACTTAAACAACAAATGGTCTGATAGCACTTTATAGACTAACAAAACATGTAGATGGTTATCTGAAGCAGTGGGCTGTGCCCAAGAAAGCTCATGATACCATCTACATGTTTTGTTAGTCTTTAAAGTGCCACCAGACCATTTGTTGTTTTTTAAGTTTCCTACATGCCTCCAGCTCCCATCCAGGACACACCATATGATCCATCGTCTATAGCCAAGCCCTTAGATACAGCCACATCTGCTCTAATCCCACTGACAGACTAGAAACTGCAGGATCTCTACCAAGCATTTATAAACCTCAATTACCCACTCGGAGAAATAAATAAATAAATGAATTAAAAGAGCCAGATGGATACCCAGAAACCATCTACTTCAAGACAGACCCAAGAAAAACAGAACACCTATAGCCCCCAACTTAAACCCGTCCAATGTATTATCAAATTACAACCTATACTGGAACAGGATACTACCCTCCGAGAGGATACTACCCTCCAAGAGGCTCCGGGAGACAAACCCATAGTCTCCTATAGACAACTACTTAACCTTAGGATAATTCTTACCTACAACTACAGGATACACCACACTAATACCAACCCTGGAACTTTCCCTTGCAACAAACCCCTGTGCCAGCTTTGTCCACATATTTACCCTGCATTATTGGACCTAACCATGCCTATTACAAGATCAAGAACACATATTCCTGTTCATCCAGAAATATAATGTATGCCATCATGTGCCTAAAGTGTCCGTCTGTATGTACATTGGACAAACTTCAGACACTTCGCCAAAGAATCAATGCCCACAAAACAGACATAAGACAAAGAGAAAGCTGTTGCTTGCCATTTCATCCAGATGACCATTCTCTCAATAACCTTAAAACATGCAAATTGCTTCAGAGAGATTTGACTCCAGACTTCAACGAGAAGCTTCAGAATTGTCATTCATGCTTAAATTTGACACTATGTATGGGTCTCAACAAAGATGCTAATTATCTCACCCATTACAAAGATGCTTCCCCAATTATCACCTCTAATGTCATTACCTCACAGACACTAACCTTTCCACCTCACCCCCACTCTGTTCTAAAATTTGATCTGTCAATTTTATAGGTGTTCACTTTTTTTTTTTAATTGTATCCTTTGGTATATATGGTCGTGCCAATTTTCTTCCACTATTTGATCTGAGGAAGTGGGTCTGGCCCACGAAAGCTCATCGCCTAATAAACAATCTTGTTAGTCTTTAAAGTGCTACATAGTCCTGTCTTTTGTTTCTACTAGACAAAAAGGTATTCCAGGACAACACCACCCAGCTTTATATGCTTGCAATTTTTTTAAAGTCAGCAGTGGGAAGCCAAAACCAAGCAGTAATGTCAACAGCAAAAACACTGCCATTCTAGTGTCAATGAAATGAACGCGAACACAAGAAATCTCTCTATATATTTTAAAAGGTTTTTCCTATGGGACGACAGAGTGACATCATGTCACTGTGTCCACAGGAACAAGCTCCAGCCTGGCCCTTCCCAGGGCCCACATGGAGAGCTGGGACTACCTATGGCCCCAGCCCTCACCTCCTCTTCCCGGGGGCGGAAGGAGAATAGGGTTGCCAGGTGTTCAGTATTCAGGCCCTCTGTCTGGTTAGAAAAAAAAAAAGAAAATACCAGACATGTGCAATGTCCGGTATTTTCTGGTTTTCCAGCAGGGTGCTGGACAGAAGCCTGGCGGGGGCAGAGGGAGCCTGCGATCAGCGCTGGGAGCCTCTGGTTGCACCTGAGGAGGTGAAGCCCTGTCCCTGCTCCTGAGCACTGGTCAAGCATGTGGCGGAGCCACAGCCAGACTTGCTTCGCCAGGACTGAATGCGGGATGGGCAGCACCCTGGAATCGGCACATGCCTGGGTCAGTCCCGCTCCCTGATTCGCTCCCCCCCG